GTCTCCGCGTAACTACCTATAATTAATTGGACAGAGATTTACGTTATTTAGGTGGAGCTCATCGGGCAGTGTTCCATGGCTTTCTATTTATTTTGTCGTCCACCGCTGCACGCTTTGGAGCCAGTTGTAATCCTGCTCGGTTTTCAGGCCTGGGTCACGTATTCAAGATACGTCCATATTAAAAGACCGATGATGGCCGCTTTTTGGCGTACGGCATTAAATGTTCCAGGTTTAACCGCGTTATAACATTGCGTACACGGCTTTAGGTTTTCTGTCACCCTACTGCCAAGCCCCTTTTATGTTTCTCTTTCTGAGTGGCCGTCCGTTCAGTAGGTACGCGTATCACGGACCGGATTTCGATTTTTAGCATGCATCAAAAAACATTTATTTGAATTGAAGGACAGGAGCCCCCTGCGTGATCGCTTGTTTAATCATCGAATGCTTTCTTGGAAGTCGGCTTCTTCGGAAGCTTTACTGATGGTTTTCCTTATGCATAAATTTACAACCTTGCCCACTCGCATTCCAATTCTTGTATTCAGTCATTAACAAACAAGAAAAAGAGGGTCGATCTGAACACTCAACCTTGCAGGACTCCACCCTTGGTTACCGGGCGTCTTGAGTTATTGTCCTATACGTTCAAGATGGGAATTGCCAATGGATAAATTCACGATCCATGTAAGAAGTTTGCGTCCGACGTCTATCACTATTAAGGGGTGCAGGAGACGTTGGTACGGAACACTGACAAAGGCCTTCTTTAAATTAATGTGGGCCACTTGCACAGTGTCTTTTGCGTCATAGGAAGCGGATTTGGTACATACGGTCTCCTCCCACATAATAGATAGAGGATCGGAAAATGTTCCTCTAGGTCACCGGCCAGCAGCCAGAACTTGGGAAGGCCGACACCACCTTCCTACTCCAACTGTGGTTTTGGCTTATGTTAAGCTTTTCACATGCAGTTTTTTCACCAAGTTACACTGAAGTGAAACTCTCCCTGGAAGCAAAATTTAATTACCAACATCGCTGTCTTTTCCCTCAAACCAGGAGTGTAAAACGCCCCGCATGACGATAAAAGGTATTAAAAATGCGGATAACTTAAAATATCAATGCGAAGGCTACTCTTACGCAGTTTGATACTCAGCTTGTTCTTACACTAAAAAGGAATGTCCACGATTAATATGCATTT